GCGACGCTTCACAGAACTGAAATGTCGACATTCAGAGTAAAAATGAGTAAGAATTGGGCAAAGGTATGTAACCTAACCTGCCCCCCCCCCCCCCCCCCCCGGGCAGAAATTCTAAATTCCCGATATTTTAAATTTTAACAGAACATTAGCTTGGCAGCCAGCAATCTCCTCGTCTTCACTGAAACCACCATTCTCGGTGATATCAAAAACAGCCCTACCCCTGGGACACACACACACACATATATAAATATATATATATATATATATATATATATATATATATATATATATCAACCCCCTAGCTCCCGAATGGAATAACTGGGGTACTAATAATTACCACAAAAAACCCGCCATAATAATCGTTGTCGTGAACGACAGATCGCACATCGTCGGTCGCCTGATAAAACCGTGAATTCCACAAATTTTCGAAAATCGTTTTTTTTGCATATTTTGATAGTGCTCGGTGAGATACATGTTCCTGTAAAACAATTTTTCAATGATCTCAACTCAAACGTGTTATCTGACGTAATAAGAAAATCGTGAATAAACACCGTGCCCCAAAAGTCGCCTGATGAAACCGTGAATCCCACACCTGTGTGGAATTCACGATCTCATCAGTCGGTTTATGACTCATGGGGCTGACCGTTGGCGCCGTGAACACCTCTTTAGACCATTGAAATATGTGCGACTTCGTTGAGCAAACATAATGGTCGATCAGTATTCAGGGTTTCCAGGCCAAAGATTATAATTTATGATGTTGACTGTATGCGTTTTGCGGGAAAACCTCTCTATCACATAATTAAAATGTGTATTTCCTAGGTGCAAGACCGGTATTGTTTCACAACGACTATCAAATTCGAATGTGTAATGTGTGTGCCCTTCTAGTAGTGGTTATACAATTTTGATCATTTGCAAAAAAAATATTGTAAAAAATAATAAATAAAAAAGGCTGAAAATTGACGTGGTCAAGTATACATTACAAGTATATTTCCGTGTAATATTACAATCCAAATTTGTTTGACATTGAAAGCTCTTTGATTTGACATCAGAGTTCCCTAACAAGAAAAGGAATTTTGAGAAGCCGAGCAATGTGAACCATTTTGGGCTTCAAAGAAAGCTACAGAAAATACAGCACGGAAATAGTAGAAGAACCAGACTTCAATGAAGAAAAGTGTCATTCAAAGTACACGATGCGTTGGAACAGATCAAAGGTGCCTTTTTAACCTCCGAGAGAGTGAGAGAGAAAGAGAGAGAGAGAGAGAGAGAGAGAGAGAGAGAGAGAGAGAGAGAGAGAGAGAGAGAGAGACAGACAGACAGACAGACAGACAGAGAGACAAACAGACAGACAGACAGACAGACAGACAGACAGACAGACAGACAGACAGACAGACAGACAGAGGGGGGCAGCAATAGGCAATACAAATCAAGAGATAGGACGATTAATAAACCCCCTAAAGAACTGAAACCCAGATGTGATTCCTCAACCAAATCAATGGACTACTCACTATTAAAAGACAACGCCAGAACAACTATCTGAACAACTATCTTTGTCTTTGTTTGGACTTTGACACGGGGAGACAGAAAGTCATATGTAAACGGTATTCTCAACACAAACAAGTACAATTCAAGCAAAAGCGATACACCAAGCTGAAAGATGCACACTTAGGTTTATTATCTGAAACAGAATGACCAGAAGATCAAAGTTTGCAGGATATATATCTATGACCGGCTCACCCACAGTAAACTGCTCTAGAGGAGCCCATGCCAGTTTCATCATCACCTGGCTCACCCCGTACGGACAAACACTTCCCACTATTCCCTACCCTGGGCTAACTTCTTCATATTTTTCAAATGTCTTTCCACTTTTCTGTTCATCATTCTCTGCGTCTTTTCTACAGGTTCCACATGGTTTTCCCTTGATCGTTTAAGCTGTTGACTCAAAATTAAAACGTTTTTGTTATGTAGCTGCCTGATCTCCAAATGGTATGCTCAGTCCAATCCATCTCCACTGCTTTCTTCTGTCTGAAAATTTTCTGGTCATTACTTCCTCATTGGTGACTCTGTCTGTCCATCTGATCCTGAGGACCTTCCTCAGGCACTTGTTGATGACAACCTGGATCCTCCAGAACTTTGTAAAGAGAGCTTTAGAAGAGTGCAGCCCAGCTGCACCACCAAACAATCCACAAGGGACGTGCAAGCCAATGAGTTTCTGTTTCCCATCTGTGGACATGCTTCTGAAGGTTCCCACTCACTATTGCCAACAAAGCTCTAGAAAACTGTATCTTGATCCCTGATTCTGTAATCTGTCGGAGCTTGAAACCGCCTGCACTGGTCAGGGACAATCTGCCTTTTGTATGTCAGGCTACTCAAATATGTGCTAGATGAAAAGAAAATGTCGATCTATGAGTCAAAAAGAGATCAATGTGAATTGTGCGTGAGTTTTGAGTCTTGACAGCGTCAGCCAGACTAAGTGGGAATCTCACATTTTAGAAAAAAACATGACAAAGAAAGGGCACGTAGTGGATAAAACCTTTTGCTTTTAGGCAAGAAGACCTTGTGATGACTTGCCTGAATCTTCAGGGTGTACTTTTGTCATTGTCTATTAATTAATCCAGCTCTTGTTACTGAAATATGCACATAATCTTCAATGCGACCTCGTTTGGTGCCATCTATTACTTATGACAAAAGGCACATGGTGGTTTGATTGCAAATGAATTCACAAGTTGTTTGATGGACAAATGCATAGAAGGTTATAACAATATATTCATTATTATACAGCTACGGGTGTGTGTGTGTGTGTGTGTGTGTGTGTGTGTGTGTGTGTGTGTGTGTGTGTATCAGCACAAAATTGCATCTATTTCTAATGCCGTAGGTGTCCTCTCCACTAAAACAAACACCGAAATTGAATACAAAATCTTATTAGAGGCCACACTTATATGCAAGTACAAAATATGCACGGCGCCATTGAGCGGCGGCTTTAAATAAAAGACATTTTCAGAAATGCAATTTTTATAATTATAGCAACGAACCTCCATGGTTTTGCCAAAATTGCAGTTAACAAAACTGTCAGGTCGGGTAGACAAAAAGAAGACCAAAATGTTAATGCAGTATGAAGCCTCTGATATAGGAGAAATTCTTTTCAGACTGAACTCTAACGAAGAGTGGGAGAGTCTTCTAAAGTCCAGAGACAAGAAAAACTTAACAAATAGTTCCCCACCAATGTATCATTCTACTTATAAACGATAAAAAGTAATTTTCAGGATCTGAGAGACAAAAAGGGTAAGATAATGAAAGAAGATCAATCAGTCAGGGGGTATAGAATTTTAACAAAAATCAAGTTCTCAACCCATCCACCACCCCTTCCCCAAAGGAAATACACTTACATACAATTGGAGAAAGAAGGGTAGAAAGATAGAAAGTACGCAAATGAAGGAGTATGATTTCATAGATTACATACAATATCACATTCATGTAAGAGTGAGAGATGTTTATAGTGGTAAAATAATGAACAGCTTTCTGCCTCACTCAGTCTGTAATTTAATTCTCAGTTTTAAATTGGTCTTTTAAAATCTTTCTTATAACAGTATTTCGTGCTTTCTTATATTTTTA